ATTTTTCCATTTTGATCGGTAGTACATGTTTAAAAACTATTCCATTCAAATTTGAAACTAATCCCACTGTTTTTAAAAAGTTATAAATAGTCGTAATGTTAAGTTGAGAAATATGTCAAATTTTAGGGGACTTTTAAGGGGAGGGGTAATTTTTTGAATTTTTGGCAGAACAAATAATCTTTTAGGTACGATTTCTAATCTAAAGAGTTGCTATACGAGGAAATCGGTTGAGCGGTTTAAAAGATGACCGTTTCCATTTCCTTGAACATTATATAATTGTAATAGTTAAATAATTACAGTATACTTGATTTTTTGATAAGTTTATTTTGCTTTATTCCAGTTTAGTAACAATAAAAATAAGAGACATTTAGTTAAAGAAGTTCAGAGTACATTAAATATTTTTGATATAAACAAAAAGATAAGAACAATAAGAATAATAAGAAAAGTAACGTTATTTCAAACTCATTTACGATCTGTAGTCGGTTACAACGATCCCGCTTTTCTCATATCCAGTATTACAGCATCATGAAACGTATACATGTTAACAGCTCTGTCTATAATGCTGCACGCAAGAGGTTTCGGAAACTTATCTGTATACGAAAAGAAAATATTATTCTTTTTTGTTACATCGTAATAACGTTTGACCTTTTCTGTTGCTAATGTTTTTATATAATTTTCGACAGTGGATGCATAGCCTACCAATTGTTTTATTTCACTGTCTAGAATCGCTTCTTCTTTGGCTATCTTGTCTCCAAGTTCGTCCAACTTAATGAATTTTAGATTATGTAAAGTCATAGGCTCCGAACACCGTGTAAACATCTCATCAATCGATTCGAGTGTTGTACGTATGTCTTATCGGGACATTCGACAAAAAGTTTCAATTTTTGGCAGGTGATTTCGAAATGTTGCTTAATTTTTTCCGGATAAATGTCTAATTCGATAAAAGCGACAAGCAACTCAACCGCCTTATCGCCTAAATTATCGACGGCGTCTTTCAAACGGTCAGTTTCGACGTTTTCCATTAAGTCCTTCATTCTCATGTAGTACATATACTTGAATAGGGAAACGTACGAAGCAATAACGGTTAATACAGGTAGGGCCGTGGCGGTCAAAACTTGTCGTTGAAACGATTCCATGCATTTGGTATCGAAGACAAATTGTGCCATCTCCAATAATGATTTCATGGTTGCCTTTTTTTCGGCTGAGACAGTTGAGGTTACTTGAACGTTTCGAAGTAAGTCTAAGCCATCCTCGTCACTAGAGGATGTAGTACTTTCTTTTTGGTCGCCTCCGCCTAGGAGGTCGTAGAACAACGCGTTTCTAGGATTCAAATGTAAAAACGACTCTTGATGGTTTTCGGTTTTTTGTTTGACCTCCATATACTTTTTAATCAGCAACGCACTAACGTGTAATTGCTCCATCGCTAGTTTATAATATTCGTGTTTATTGTTATTTCCAACCGTGTTTCTAGGCCAACTTGTTAGTAACAAACTTTTGAGTGGGTCTAAGTCCGAACCCAGCGATTTCCCACCGGTGGGTGGCGACCACTTAGGACAATTTATCGAATAACCATTAGATATAGATTTGAATAATGCGGTCATTACACAATTGATCGTCAATTGGCATACCTTTATGTCACGGCTAATTCCCATACTCCTGTACTTCTCTGCGATTGGTTTTACCATTAACGATCCGGAAAGGTTGTTCAAATATAAATTGACCGCCATCAAAGCCTGCGGTTGACTGGCTGGATTGTTGGCCTGCAAATCTTTAAGCATCGCCAAAACAATTTCTCCTTGAATTTGTAGGTCATCTCCCCTACCTGTGCAAAGTTGCACTTGCACTAACGTATGGGTAAAATCTCGTCCGTCGAGCTCATCTTGTAACGCGTAACTGATCGTTTGTAAATAATAATTTATATATTCCATAAAAAAGCAAGTTTTTATATCTTCCGCATTTACCCGTGTGGTTGAAATTGCCAACACAACGAAACACGACAGTATCATGGTAATATTCTGCATCTCCTAACGCGGCTGAAGAAGTTATAAGTAAAACAAATCACGTTATGTATTTGGCTCGCTTTAGTCTTTCGGATGTAAGTTGTATAAAGCGTATGTATCGAGCGTCTCTTTTGAATACTATGGGAATAATGGCCGAAAAACAAGGAAAAATTCGAATAACAATGTTTCGAAAAATATGTGGCCTACATGACATCGCCTGGTGCGTCATATCACTTAGTAAATACTGAGGCAAAAACATTTGAACAATTTTTTTTGTAAATAATCTTATGTGCGGTAAGTATAGAGTGATCACTTCATCGTGAACCAATCAATATCATGAACGTTTTTAGTTCATTCATCGCAATTACAAAAATTAATGAAATGCATGCGTCACCGTTTAAGTTACCGAAATTGCAATTAAAAAAAGGTTGGGAGGCGGTAAAAACAATAAAAGCTGTGATAAATTGAGATCACATTGTATAAAAACAATAAGGAAAAAAAACAATTTTTACCAATAAACCCTGTGAGATATTGAGCAGGTAACGATAAAATGATTACCCTGTATAGTATAATACAAGTATACAAATATGATCACTGACGGCTCGTGGGTAAAATTGTTGGTTTTGCATATTTATAAAATATACAATAAAACTTTACAGCAGTCAATAACAATGTTTCGAAACATATGTGGCCCGCCTAACATCGCCTGGTGCGTCATATCATTTAGCAAATACAATACGTATGTACAGGGTGATCATTCCATTGTCAACCACTCAATAACTTATGTGGTTTAATAACTAACGACAATATATCCAGTCATGAATGTTTTTAGTTCATCATCATTGGCGGCTCGTGGGTAAAATTGTTGGTTGTGCATATTTATAAAACATACAATACAACTTTAGAGCAGTCCATTACAATGAAAAAAAAAATTAATTAAAAATATCTCTGTATTTTAAATTTTGACGCAATAATATTCGCCACATGTTTAAAAATAGTTCAACAATGTGACTTATATACTTTGTGATTGAGATAAAAGTTTCTCTATTAAAATACTTAAAAATAAATAATGTGTTGAATATAAAGATTAAATATTATATGGAATGGGCTATGAGGGTATTTTAATTGTTTTCGATAGGCTTCGGTGGGAATTCAATTCGGTAAGGAACTTCTCGTTATAATATTAACATTTTTTTTTTTAGTTATAATAAATAATGTAATTTTTAGCTTTGTAACATTTTCGATTCTTGGCTATTTTTTTTTTACACAGAGATACGTTATCTTTTACTGTTGATGCTAAATACAATTTTTGTAAGAACTCATAATATGCGCATACTATACAGGTTTGGCCAATATAAAAAAAAACAACTGGATATTTTGTTTAAAAACTTGTATACCATTTAATCTATAGGAACTAATCTAATATGAAACAAACAAATGTTTTTTTTCATAATTAACACCTAGAGTATATGCGTAGTACAGAACTTAGTCTGAAAATAAATACAATAGGAACATCTGCTGTTCTATTACACTAACAAGTTTTTTTTGAAAATTATAAGATAAGAGAAACACATCTACAATATTTGGTTATTTCTGCCTGTCGAATATTACACATGCGTATCTATATTGAGTATTATAATCATAATGAAAAAAACAAAATACCTAATTAAAATACCAATACTTTAGGTCACTGTCAGGAATGTAATATGATTTGAACAATTTCTTTATATCGCTGTTTTAGATTATCTTTTAAGCTTAAAGTTCTGATAATTAGGCCAAAGGTACCTAGATTCAGAGTGGGGCTATAATATATACCAATTTCCAACAAGTGGTTTTTTCGCCATTTATTAGTTGTGTTTTTAAAACGTTTGAATTTGCTTGCACGATAGTACCATATTGTTACAAATATTATAGCAAATACAAATTTTGTATAAAAGCCAATCATAACACTTAAACAAATGTTTCTTATTATATTATTTTATAATTTTACTACATGTGCAGATATGTATGTTGTGTGTAAACATTTTTTAAAACATATTATACTACGAACATATTTGATACTTACATACACGAGTGTATTTTTTATAAAAAAAAAAAAAACCAACGTGCAGTTTAATTTGAGTGAAAAAAATGAAAAATATTTATTGTTGTTTATTCAGTAGTCTAATAGGGATATGAAAGCTTACTTAAAAATCATACTAATCTGTGAATAAGTATCATTGTTTATTTTATTTGCTGCTGTAAACTGTTACTAAATATTTTTTATTTCAATTAATAGCTCTTCTCTATTATAATAATCAAACATTCCATAGGGTTGAATTTGATTATTATTAAAATGATTATAGTTTTTATTTTACAAACAACCTTTGATAATGACATAGTTTTTTATTCTCCAAATAATATTTTAGATATGAACACTTGTGTCATAAATAAACAACAACTGATAAACCTAAATATTGGTAAATTCGTGTATAGTTAACCTTCATATTTTTTTAATTCAATATGAAAACGTGTTATTATTTGAACAATACAAGGGCAAAATATTTTTTTTTTTGCTTATGCGGCGTCTGTCTCTCGGAATTTGCCATTTTAATTCACCATGAACAAGTTTTGTCTATACGCAGAATTTGAATTATTTATATAAATTTAGTGTCGCAATTAATACAGAGATTTTTAGGGACCCAACTAACCTCCGTCCCCACTATGCCCCGACCCCACTGTACTGGTTTTTTTTATTTTTGAATTAGAGCTATTCGATCAGAGTCGGTTATAGTTTTTACACTTTATAACAACAATTCATCGTGTTGATACTTCTAGAATATTGTAAGACTGTTTTTACATTTTAGTATGCATACATGTTCTGTGTGTCGTTCAGGAACTAGATGGCTTGCAAGGCCTAGGAGAGGTGATCGTAATGATTTTGAAATGAAAACATCATTTTAACGGTATTACATTATTTATTTAATCGTTTTATAAATGAAAACATAATAATGTAATAATAAAACAAACATATGTAAGTAATAAAATAAATAATAATACAACACAAAAATAAAACATCATATTTAAAACTGATAACCCATAGTTAAAACACCCACAAAAAATATTCGTATGTTAATCATTCTGTATAATTTTTAATTCAGCAAAAACATAAACCTTTATATAGGGGGGGGGGGGGCAAATGCCAACCCGTTGGCAAAAAATAATATTAAAAACATTAGTGTACGCCTATGCTCAGCTATATTATTACATCATTTCTTCTGTAAAGTGACTTCAAAACTTATTGATGCTGGGTAAGCCCTTGTCCTCGTCTATTAACGCATAGAGGAACTCTATTATGTCCACATAGCTGTCTTCTAAAAAGTACAATATTTTCAGTTAAGAAGTTTATTTTATTTTGTCGCTAGATCTACTTCAACGTTTTGGCCACTATAATATATACAGATTTATTGTGATAAAAATCAGCAATCATTTTCCCGGGAAGCTTTGTATAATTGTAAAATTACTTTTTCCCCGAGATGTTGAAATTATGAAAATATCCGTGTAGAACAATTAACAAATGTATTTACCGTATCCTTAAAATATCAACCCTAACGATCATATAAAAACCCCAGTAAGCTATATCATTAGCATAACCTTAAACTAATGGATACTTTTCCTTTTTTTTTTAGAGGTAGTTTTTGGACTTTGTATCGGATGATTATATAAACCCAGATCTGTAATAATATGAAACAACTTTTTTTTCCGGCTTATTTACTAACCCCAACTGTAACACATGCAAAACCGCCCAAGTGCTACTTTATGCTCTTCCTCGCCATGGTAATTATTACCATTAAAAAACTTAAGCCGATTTCGTTAACGCTATAATTTGCAATCTTACTATTGGTGTCGTGATCTTTAAAGAATTTCTCAAGGTCTTTGTCCTCGAAATTCCCGGAGTTAATTTTTTTAAGTTCATTTGTATTGAGTAAACCGTCTTTGTCTTTGTCAATCTGATCGAATTGCCATACAATTTGCCTAACAATATTGACAGGTATAGCTTCATCCTGAAATATCAACAAAGTAATTAATATAGTGGGTACCTCTTCAGATGCACACAGGGGCGTTATCCACTCGACATTAATAGTTGTACTGTGACAGCATGTGGTTTGCACGAATAAAATAATATACTCTATGGGATGTGATAGTATTGAGACCACCGGATTTTCATAGTAAAATAAAGGAGCATATTAATATCTAAGGCAATTTTTTTGGCGGATCCGATAATTTTTTTGTCTTTACATTTTTACACTTAAAGTTTTTTCTTATTTTCTAATAAATTATTAAAATTTAGTCGAAACTCTAGTTTTTATTCGTGCAGAACAGCTATATTAATGTAAAAAAAATATATAATGTTTTTCGATAGAAATAACTGTGATAGCCGGACAACAAAAAAAACAATAACCAATACACAATGTTCTCATTGCTGTACTAAAATAAATATACACTATGGCGATTTAACGAAAAACGTCCTATACTCTAATGCTTTAATAAATGAGTGTGTGCGCCATCGTAAAAGCAAATAGAACACAATCGTAATCAAATTATCAAACTTACTTTTTCTCCTTTACTGTATTCTGCAATGACAACCAACAGTTCTTGCAACTCCAAAGCAGCTTCACCTATAATCGAAATAATGAGTACATTTTTTATTTTACTAAAATATATACATATTACATATTATAATCATAGAACCAGAACTGGGAAAAATGTTTAAACAAAACAAAATAATAGAATAAATCTTAGTTAAATTACAGTTGTTTCGTAAATAACAAAAAAAAAAGATAACATCATTCAAAACGATATAAATACAATTTAGTTTGTTTATTCGTTTTATTTTATAGATGACAAAATTTCTCGATTAATTTAAAATAATTAAATCACATACTATTAAGAATAATATCGATAACAAGTATTTTGAAGCTAACAACTAGTGTTGATTAATTTGTTCATAAAAAAGTCAAATAATAAAATTCGATCAAGTAAAAATAATTTTTTTTACTTATTGCTCCGTTTAAATTAAAAGTTATTTTTCCAAACCTGTATAATAATAACAAACGAGATAACATCAACAAAATATTCTTACGAGTTGTAGTAAAGCTCAAAAGGTCCTTGAGGTCTTCTCCGACTATAGATAACTTTATGAAAAAGTCTGTTATTCCTAAAGGATTAATTTGATTGCCTGTTTTGTTTTCTTTTAATTTGGCCAGTTCGTCAATGTGTATCTTGTCTAGACTTCCGTCCTAAGTACAAGTATTTAAATCATGTAAGTATACGAAGGGAGTAAGATTTTTTTTTTTGTAAATGCGCCAAAATGTATAGTAGGTATGGCAAACGTATTATAGTTATATGTGTGCTTCGTCAAGACTTTAACGAAACCATAAATACTTACTTGAGGTTTTACTTCCAAATAGGCTTTCACCAACTCCACGGCGTTAATTGTTTTGTCATCTAAAAAAATTAATTTAAATCATCAACCTTAGTAATATAATTAACTGCTTAGCTAACTCAATAATACTTGTGCTAAATTGGCCTGCTAAATCATCTTTGAACTTTTGTCCTAGACTTAAACTAGCAATGAGGTCTTTTAATTCTTCGTAGTCAATAAGACCATCGTTGTTACGCTTTTGGTCAAATTTTCTGAACACTGTCACAATAATTGTTACTTCGAAGGATGATACATTTTCTTTCTACGAAAAAAACCCATATGGTAACAAGAAAATCAGGTTAATTTGAAATTTTCCCATATTTTTTTTTTCAATATTACCTGCCAGCAGTCAGAACTCTTATCGTTATCGGCCAGAAGTATCAAAAGATCTTGTGCTTTATGAGCGTCGGATACATCTATAGTTTAAAATAAAATATAAAAATATATTCTGAACAATTTTCAATCGAACTACCCAAGCCGAGTGCATTAAATTGAAAATCGTTAAATACTGGAAAGACGGATATTATTTTTTACAGACATCAAATTTGTTTCCAAGTGGAAGGTGGGGTAAGATTTGATTACAACCGAAAAGTTTAAACCCTGTTTAAAAGATGCTTTATTACCTGTGTTGTATGTGAAATGCGACATGGATTTCATGCCAAGTTTTAGTCCAAGATCCCAGATATTTTGTTTGGGAATTTCGTTTTTATATGTTTCGTATTCTTTAAATAAAGAAACAATATCCTTGGCTTGCCGCTTATTGATTCCGGCGCTCTATAAAATATTATAGGTACAATAAAAATAATAATACATACTATTAACTAAAGAAATGTTTTTTATTAAGTACTTTTACCTGTGTCACGGTCACGAAGTACAACATGCAAAGGATAACGGCACTTTTGAAATGCATAACGGTTGTTTATTTTTCAAACACTTTGTTGAACCAGAAGTAAGTCTTCAATACCAAAGTCGGGTGAACAGGAAATTCGATTGTACTCGAGGTGTCTTTTATACGGTGCGAATGATAAAAACAGTTGTTTTTCGTTTCATTTTATTTACATAGTACACGCTTTAAGTAATGTTTTTGACTCAAATGTACAGTTGTAGACACAGTGAACCTAGAAAAACACTGCACATTTGCTTATGTAAAATGACACATTAATATATTTTGTACTTGATATAAATCGCACAAGCACAATATAGCGAACGACGAATATTATTAAATCTTCATACTTATACTTTATATTTATGTACTTAAATAAATATTTCTGACTAGGTTGTACAGATGTAAGCATAGTGTAACCCAAAAAAAAACACTGCATATTTACTAGCGTAAAATGGAATAATAACATATTTTTTATTCGCTATACATTTGCACAAAAACAAAAACAATTTAGCGGACGACGAATGCTATTAAATCTTCATGTAATAATATTATTCGTTAAAATAAAAAAAATAATAATAATAATTTCCATACACTAAACTAGACTACACTAACTAGAAATCAAGCATAGTCTTAAATAATTACGGCAACAAAACGTCAAAATATTTTCAAAAGATTTTAAACGAGTACAAAAAAAATGCTACACAGTTGGATTGGTGCATAGTGGGGTTGGTGACGGAGCATATTGGGATGGGGGAGGTGGTTACTGTTAAGATTCCATCGTCTAACGAAAAATAATTTATGCCAATGTTTTCCATTTATAAATAATTAAAAACTTAATGGAGATATATAGAAAACTTATGTTAACGACTTTCGGTTCACTTACATAATATTCATTATTCAATAATCTATATTAAACCTAACAAAAATAGTTAACGATGTTCGAGATTTCGAGTAAAAGAGTCGGGTCGAGATGAAATTTATAAGGAATATTTATTTGGTACAATATAAATAATTAACTGCAAACACGGTGTACCAGATGTGAGAAACGAACAGACGCTAAAAACTGTCAGTTTGTAACGTCTAACCATATTAGGTTAGGTTAGGACCCAATGGTCGGTATCATAATATTTTGTTTATTACATGATATCACAGACGACTACATCATGTAACTGATTATAGTAGATACACAATTTATTGGGGAAAAAATCTATACGTGTACTTATTAAGACACTTAATGATTCTGACACGACAAAACCACTGTCGTTATCTCGTTATTTTATCGCCCTCGTTATATTATCGACCGAAGGTCAACTATGAGTATATAAGGCCCAACTACCTACAAATTATGAAGAGGACTGTTGTTTTTTGGATTCAGATTAAGTGTTAGTTTTTATGCAGTATACCGACCCAAAATGTATTTTATATTACACAATTTTTTTAAAGGAACACTAATATTTTGCATATTGTTATACTGTTATTCATTTAAAGAGATTCACGCCTGATTGTTTAAATTATTTAATATTAGATAATCAGTTTCGTGCTATTTTCAAATTTTTAGTTTATCAACTTGTAGCTCTGATTTTGTATAAAATATTTCATTATTTTATTACTGTGTTCAAATTAAGATATATTTTAATCATTTTCAAAAGTCATGAATGATAATACTTTATTTTATGACTATATCAAATCTCGTGAACATTTAACTTTGTGATACTGCTCCTATACTATTATTAAAAAAACACAATTTTTAAAATCTCCATAAAAGGTTATTGTTAAATATGTAAATGTAACAGCCAGCAGCCGACAGCTAGTTGTAATTTGAAAGTGATTTTATCCGAGAGGACTATTACAGTAGAGTATAGGCATAATGGAATCAAAGCAACGAGGAGACGGAGAGGTCACAGGTCTACAGGAATTATTATAAATAAAAGTGATAAAATTGAATAAAATCACTTTCAAATAAACGCTTTAATGCTTATTGTAAATACAGCACTTCAATTTAATACTTTCTAACTTTGCTGGTTTATACTGTGCTTGGTTTGGACTGTACTGGCTTGAAAATACTAACTACCGATTTGCATCGAAGCGTTTTTTCGAAAGTGATTTCATCACTTTCAGATTTAAAAATTCCTGTAAAACTGTGATCTCCCCGTTCCCACTATGCCCCGACCCAACTATGCCCTGACCCCACTGTACTGGTTTTTTTAACATAAATTTAAGTATTACCTAGTAATTTAAAAACTGATTGTTCACATACATGTGATAATAAATAAATTGGTATTTATTTTTTGATACTAAGTATCTAGGTATTCTACTACTACTTATAAAATAAAACAATAACAAATTGTATAAAAATAGTTGTCTCATGCCGTTTAGATTATTCATCTTTTTAATTGTGGTTTATTTAAAAAAATAAGTAACTTTTAAAGGTTTAAATATTCATTTCTTTACTGTATATTTAATAATAAAAACCATAAGTCGCTTAACGTTTCATTTATATTAATTGAATGTTTACATCAGAATTTGAACAACCAACATGAGTAAAATTCTGAAAAATAATAATTTTAAAAAAACCAGTACAGTGGGGTCGGAGCATAGTGGGGATGGAGCATAGTTGGGTCGGTGCATAGTTGGGACGGGGAGGTCACAGGTTTACTGGAATTTTTAAATCTGAAAGTGATAAAATCACTTTCGAAAAAACGCTTCGATGCAAATCGGTAGTTAGTATTTTCAAGCCAGTACAGTCCAAACCAAGTACAGTATAAACCAGCAAAGTTAGAAAGTTTTAAATTGAGGTTCTGTATTTACAAATAAGCGTCAAAGCGTTTATTTGAAAGTGATTTCATTCAATTTTATCACTTTTATTTATAATAATTCCTGTAGACCTGTGACCTCTATGTCTCCTCGTTGCTTTGATTCCGTCATGCCTATACTCTACTTTACTAGTCCTCTCGGATAAAATCACAATGATATAGGAATCCTTCTTATACAAGACTGGATAAAAATCCAACTCAAAAACGTTCACACAAATCTCAATACATCCGATGACGCACGTTTCTACAACCTGGGAAACAAAACGAAAAATCGGCGTTAAAAACCACGTATATCGCAAGATCTTCTTCTATTAGATTCAAGTGAAGATGAAGATCGACTTTCAATTACTACTAAAATAACCTATTGACTAATATCAACATGAAAACATCATTATCACAATATCGTAAACTACTTGTAATTAGTAACTTAATTTATAATATGTAATTAGAGCGTAAGAAAACTTGTAATAGCATGTAATATGCTGAAACATATAAATTTTAATAATAAAAAAAAGAAAAAAATGTTGTCTGATACGTTCAGATTCCCTTATTATCTTATATCCCATAATGTACGTTGAAAAGCACTATTGTTTTCTTAAAAAGCAATAATAAATATATCAAAGATGTTAATGTAAAATATGGCTGCTCATATTGTGTTAAAACTTAAGATGTATCAATACCAACATTTATTTGTCATTTGTTTACATTGCAACAGGCATTGCGAAAATTATGGTATTTTATGTACGATGTAGATGGGTTTTGTACAACACAAATATTAATTTACCAAAAATTTAAAATTCAATTTTAATTATATGTAAATGATTAAAGACAGAGGGGGGTTATGGGATCTAAAGTATTTCTCTTACGTACTTAAATTGGGTAAAATAAAAGTGTACTTTTATGAATATATATTTTTTATTATAATATATTCGGATATGTATTGTTTCGACAATGTAAACATTAACTATGTAGCTATTGCTATTGCTTATCATGTATATTTAAAGTGATTTTTTTTCCTAGCCCTCTTTTTTCATATCTACCTCTGCCTGCATGTAATTATATGTCTTAAGTGGTGTGAACAACATTATTTAATAAAGATATTTTAATCAAAAATACAAGTTGAATTTATAAGATATTAACGATTAGACATTTATGGGTTAATATTTTCCCTTATTGGTGAATTTATAAAATAAAATTATTGATAAAGTTACCAAGTATGAATTTAACAGGCAAATTCAACACGTTACGTTAAACCTTTAAATCAGGATAATTGTAATACAATTTTAAAACATATTTTTTCTTGTAGCTCACATGCATAGCTTTTGTAGGTAGTATAATATGCCTGATCGTGTTTTTTTTGTTTCTTTATTTGTTCTTGACTCACTGCGCCACGCGCCTGCAAATAGTTTGAATAGATTAGATAATGAAATACAATTTTACTTATTCAGTGAATATTATTTTCATTGAGAAAAGGTACATATTATGGACATGTTATAATATGTTTGACGGATAACACAATGTGTTTTTTGGAATATATTGTTATTAAAAAAATGTAAAGGTCCAAACACAGTTATGATAAACAAATGAAGATGAAAATTGTACAATATACATCCAAGTATAACAAATAAGTTAGCATCTTTTTTTTCAGAATGTGACACGGATCTTGGATATTGTAGTTTAGTTGGGTTAGATTTAATTTGTTGTTTACCGAAAACAAGTTCTTCTTTGAAACGTATTCTGTTTTGTTAACATATAAAAAACTAAATACATTTTAAAATTTTAGTTTTAAAATAGAATAATTTTTAATCTTTTAAAAGGAATTCTATAACTATATACTGGATCTGGGAACCACAAATTTCTGTCTACGTTACCAGATACGATTTATATTATATAGAATACTAAGAATTGTTTATATTTTAAGAATTTAAACAATAAATCCTATAAAAGATATAAATCGTCTGTACCTTTTATCGTAATCAACTAGTGTATGATTAAAATATTATTCAGATAAACGATGAATGTAGATTTATTCACACATAGCGACATGGTAATTTAATCGGTAAAAGTCTAAATTTCTCCAATTTTTTTGTAGTTTTTCCTTAGTAGAAATAAATTGACTAGAGATTATTAAGGCGATTATATGTATGATCACACATCACCATGCAGTGCCCCCACAACAGTAGTGTCAATTTTTAATTATACTTTTTCCTCACCCTCCCCTGCCCATCACGGTAGATGATATTTTTTTTTTATAGATGTAGTTTTAAGAGCATATAGTTGAAAATATCGTGCGCGTGTATTGTTCAAATAATAACATGTTTTCATACTAAACTAAAAAAAATATGTAGGATACTCATGTACAAATACATAGGTTTGA